GGCTCTGTGTCCTCCAGGATCTGGTGTTGAAGTTTGTCCATCAGCTGCAGACTGCTGCACAGATCCTGGAGGTTTGGTTGCAGGAGATGCTGCTGGTAGAGCAGAGGTCTGACCTCTGGCCACAGACTGCGTACAGGCCAGGAGAAGTCCATGAAAGGACTGAGGGCAGATGGGAATCCATGAGAGCACAGCATTTTTCTCCTGTTTGTTTTGAGGCTTCTTGTCTTGAGATGAACTTCTTTTCAGGTTTCTCTTCTCTCCTGTGTTGCTTGTGTTTCTTTCTGTCAGTCAGTGGGACTGTCTCAGCTTTATATTCTAGCAGGCGGCGCTCCAGAGGCTTCAGGAAGTTTCTGGTAATTACCACAGAAGTCCACTGGGTGGAGCTCTTTCACACATTTTATCAGGTCTTCCAAATTTTGCTTTTTCCACAATCACTTCTTTAGTCAGGTATTGTAGTAACTGTTCCTCAGTTTTAACAACATTTTATTCATCATAATTAACTGAACATGTTAGAAATAGTTTACATTTATTTTAGGGAAGATTTTGGAAAGATTTAGCAGATCTTTCATCAACCATTTTTTAAATGCCTATACTAGATTAATCCTATCAAACTATTTCTATTGAATAAAAAAAATCTTCCTTTTTTATTTGCATTGTTATACAGCAGGAAATCAATCATCACCATTTGGGTTGTATTGTTTATATTGCATTAAAATTGTTCTATAAATTCTTCTTTATTTATTTTATTGTAATTTATGTCTACCTTGTCAGAATGTAGGAATATATATCCGAGCTTTTTTCTGAGACCTTGGTCTCTGGTTTACACGGAATTCAGAAAATATTGAAAGCAATGTTCTTCATGTTTATTTTTGATACAACCCCAACCCAAATTTGATTATTTTCATCCCTATTTTCCAAACACATGACAATGCCCCTATTTTTCTAAAGAATATGAGAAATACATATGAAATATGCAAACAAAGAAGCAAGGTGTACCTGAGAATATTAAGCCTTTTCTGAGTAGTTGATGCACCTTTTGCAGAAATTACAACCTAAAGTTTTATCGAATATGATGCTATAAGTTTGGGACACCTGATTTTTGGAAGTTTACACTCATGAATAGATGCAGGTAATCTTATAAAAAAAATCAGTGTGGATGGGGAACATGGGTGCTTAGCCATTTTTACATCTCTTATGAAATTCAAGATGGCCATCCAGCTCTATGAGGGGTCCTGGTCATTCCAAGTTTCCTCCATATAATGATGATGGAGGCCATTATGACAATTTAGACCTTCGAAGAGGAAGGTTCCTTTCTGTAACCTTCCCTGGACTTTTTATTTTTAGAAAGTTCTATGTCAGAGGACTGCAGCTAAATCCTTAGCCTCTATGTGTGACTTTCCAATTTTTTTCCAGTCCTGTGAATCTACCACAATGGACTCCAGTGAAGGTGTAGAAACGTTTCTAGGATGCTCACTGAAAACCAGATGCACAAGAACTCAATTTTGTGCTTCATAAAATTGTCTGTTAAGTCTTACAAATATCTGATTTACTCTAAATCTCCTTAAAAAATATATTTAAAATGATATTTTTATGGGTTGTTATGCATAGAGTTTTGAGATGAAAAAGAGAATATTTTACATTTTGTAATAAGGCTACATTCTGGCTCCA